CCGACCACCCGGTTTGCGGGAAAGACCAAATCTATCACAGGTTCGTTCTACCGTTCACTTTTTCATGGGCCTAATCCAATCTGCGTTCCTGTTTTATACTTGGTATTGTGTTGATCATCACCCAAAGTGAAAAGCCTGTTCATTCACCTTGGTCGCGTTTATCTCTGAAGACTACTTGTGTACTATGGGATATCTGTGTGCGGGTGATGTGACTTTGTGTCATCATCATCATTGTCATCATTGTACAGCGTAATACATTAAAGCGAACTTCACTGACCGCTGCCAAACTCATATTGCATACAAGGTAAGGAAGAATGTGTAAGGAGGGCAGGGATTGGACCTACTTTTAGGGACGGGAAAAGAAAGCGAACCTCTACAGGCAACACAGAGTAAACAGTGCAACTGTGCATAAATACAATTTCAAGCATTCTGGTCTGATAAGAAGTGACAGCATGATCGACATTGCTGTCGGTTTGCAGCGATAACCTTGTCTCCAACCAAGCGGTTTCGTAGTCTTTTGAACATCACCCCGGAAGACGAGAGACACCTACTCTACCTAATAGTTCTGTGCATTTCTTCATGCCTCGTCTCCACGTCATCTGCTGGCCTCCACATGGCTTTCTCTAGCCTGCAACAGCCACCGCAAATAAGACGAGCTACGGTAGGCAACCGTCGGACTCGCAAAACGTGTCCTTACCAACGGAGCTTATTGAGCTGGATTTGATGCGATAGTGAGTTCTTGTTTGCTGTATTCCCAAACACTCGACGACTTACTTCCAAGTTACTAACCCGCTCACTCTATCCCACTTAGACCAGACTACGTAAGCATCGATTATCAAACACTGCAAAACGACGGATGTCTTCTACCTGCATGTTCAGAACAGAACAGTGGCGCAGTATATGCGACTTTTCAACTTCAGTGAAACTTCACTTCGCCGCCACTGGTGTTTAAGTCGTGCGTATGCTGCTCGAACCTTGGAAATGCGGGCGGTTATCTTCTTCGATGCGCTACCGTCGTTGGTCACGCAGCTACCTAAGTACGAGAAGCAGCCAAATTCAGCTAATTCCTGACCGTCTAGTTTCGAAACAGAACTCGATGTCACCCAGTCTTGTAGCACTACTTTGCACTTTAAAGGTGCAAAGCACAGGGACAGAACTTGATAATCTGTCAAGTGCTCTTTGCGCATCCTCCATACATCCCAACAAGCAAACGATGTCGTCAGCGTACTCCAAATCGCACAGCTTTTCTCCAACTCCCCATTGAATACCTACATTCTGGAGACCAGTAAGTGCGTTCGCCAGTATTTCGTCTACGACGAAATTGAACAGGAATGGTGAAAGAGGGCACCCTTGACGAACACTGCTGTTAGTTACGAACGACCTACTCAGCTCGCCGTAGACCCTTACGCCACCAGAAGTATGTGAGTAGAGTGAACTAAGTATATTCACATACTTCTGCGGCATTCCTTTGCGAAGTAGTGAACCCATAAGGGATTCACGATCAACTGAGTCTAAGGCTCCTTTTAGGTCAAGGAACACGACAACCGTTGATCGGCGGTGCGTATGGTGTAGCTCGAGGACTTGACGCAGAGTGAAGATTTGATCGATACAACCGCGACCCGGTCGAAATCCTACTTGTTGTTCGCGGATGTTCGTCTTCCCAAACCGCGTCAGACGTCAAAGTATGATGGAGGCTAGTAAATTGGTGACGATTAAGATCAAACTTATTCCGCGGTGGTTTGCGCAGTCATTGCGAGATCCCTTTTCAAAAATTGGAACAATCAGTGATTCTCTCCAAGATGATGGAATGCGCTCGTGTGACCAGATATCATGCATTAAATCAACAATGGAAGCCACAAGATCACCCCCCCCCCATCTTGAAAAGAGTGGGGGGAAGCCCGTCTGGCCCTGCTGCTTTTCCTTTCTTCAGGGCTTGGATTCAAGGTTGAACTTCTGCTACAGTAGGAGGTTCCCGTGACGCTTCCCACGGAGCCTCAACTACACCAGACGAGATAGCCTGGTTAGCACCTAGCCAGCTGAACTGTCGGTCGAGCCGTTGTTCCCTATTGTGAATAGCTCATCCACATTGGTCGCAGATTGTTTCACTAACTGCGGTTCGCCGACCTCCCAGAACAGTCTCTGACTATTCCCTGATGCAGCCACTACTTCCATTTCACTAGATGTCGTTGTCCACCAGTTCTCACGGTCTCCCTTGAGGCTCCCCGTGAGTTGACGTTGCAGACGCCACCTAACCCTGCCTTGATCCCGGGCGCACGGGATTTTCCCCCTTTTTCTCCGTCAGTGCTACTGACTGATCAGATATCCAATACCTCGGGTGAGCTACGTCTTCAGATCCACAAGCAACGTTCGCTGCGGAGTGCATTGCTCGGTTAATCTGATCCCATTGCTCATCTACACTACTATCCCGCAGTGCGTTTAGCTCTTGCCCTAGTTCTGATTCAAAACGGGCACGAATGGCGGGGTCAGCTAAACGATGTGTCATTGTTTCTCTTACACGTCACTGTGTGACAAACAGAAGACGGGGTATATCTCGTAGTCATGAAGACCTGTTGTTTAGTGATGGAAACCGGTAACCTAATCCCCGGGACCTGAAGTGGCGAACCACATAAGGCCAGTCGTGTTTTTGAACTGAAAGACGACAAAGCTGCCTACCACCAACGTTTGCAACGGTGGCGGGGCTCGAACCCCGAACCACAGGGTCCAGAACACACCGGTGACAGCGACTAAACCATTGCGCCTCCATCACGCTTGTATGTAACTCCTAATGGAGTGGTGGTGGCACTGTAGTTTAGTCGCTGTCACCTACATGCTCTGGACCGGATGGTCCTAGGTTCGAGTCTCGCCACTGCCACCCAACTTTGGTGGTAGGCAGCTTTGCTGTCTTCCGGTTCAATACCACGCCTAACCTATCAGGGCCTCGTGGTTCGCCACTCCTAGTCCCGGGGTTTAGGTTGTAGGGTTTCCATCGATGAACAGCAGGTCCTCGTGACTATGGGGTTTACCCCGTCTGCTGTTCATCACACATAGGTGTGTGTTGATAGTGAAATAGGTTCTATTTTTTCCGTTTTACCCTGGGCTTGGCAACCTGGCAGAATTTGGCCCACATTCAATCGTGGAAGGTTTTTCTTTTTATAAAGATCATTGCACCATAATTTGTTTGGCACACAGTCTGACCTCAGACTGGTGTGAAATACTTAGACATCCCTTATACCCTAGAAGAAAAGATGTTTGTTATCCTCGCTGTGGTGTACCGTGAATTCGAAACTTAGATGACCTGGTAAACTTTTTCGATGAACTGCACTC